CTGTGTAAGTTCCCAATAGTCTCGCTTGTATTTAACAGCACAACAAAATGACTCTTACCTGACCTGATGGATTTTCTCCAGGAAAGCAGCGAGCACAGCAGCAACTGGGGAGGAATCTCCCTCCGCTGGTGGGGAGGGCTAGGGCCTTGTGGGGAAATCCTGTTGGAAAGAGCCTTTTCCTTTCTCCTGGATCTCTTTAATGTGTATGTCTCAGCTCTTTATGAAAGTGGATGATTTAGGAAGTATAAATGGATACACTCTGGTGCATCATCACAGCTCAGCTACGCTTCATGGTTCTCTCGCCCTAAGAACGTGGGCTACACGCTTGATCAGCCAAGAGAAGCTGCTGCATCTCCACTGATATATAGTTCAAAAGGTGCAGTGCATAGCCACTGTAACAAGAAAAGGATCAGTTCGTGGCCCCAGGATATTAACATGTTCCTCAAACCACCCTTCCAGGAAAAAGAACAGGAGTACTTGTGGCACCTTAGAGACTAACAAATTTATTAGCGCATAAGCTTTCGTGGACTACAGCCCACTTCTTCGGATGCATATAGAGTGGAATAAATATTGAGGAGATATATATACACACATACACAGAAGTGGACTGTAGTCCATGAAAGCTTATGCTCTAATAAATTTGTTAGTCTCTAAGGTGCCACAAGTACTCCTGTTCTTTTTGCGGATACAGACTAACACGGCTGCTACTCTGAAACCTTCCAGGAAAGTTATGACACTAGAGTACTATGCAGGGGTTCTCAGGACAAATTTTTTGGTGGCCTCAGAATGCGGCCACCAACTCTTGCTGGTGGCCTCTCTCACACTTTCCCCTAAAATACTTAATTAGCTTTAGGAAAAACAAATAATTATGCACATATACATGTCCAAATCATTGTAATTTATTTATTGCTAGCTAGTAAGTCTATTGTAAAAAGTGATATTGTCAAACATAAAAGTATCACTTTTCACAGAAGACTTACTCAGCCCCGGCAAGCCTGGGGACAAATTAAACCCTGGACAGGGGGGTCGGGGTAGGCAGTAGGGGCCAGGAGCAATGGAGTTGTGGGGGCCAGGAGATCCAGTGTAGGGCCAGAGACTGGAGCCCCGTGGCCCGTGGGATGAGGATGGAGCCTGAAGCCGTGTGGCCGGAGCCTGGGGTTAGAGCCTGAAGCCCTGCGGCGGAGATTGTCACCCCACCACCCCAGGGGTGAAGCTAAAGCCTGAGCCACACCACCTCTGGGAAGGTGGGGAACTCACCCGTTACCTGCTCCTCCAGTCTTGTGCCCCAGCTATCTCCAGAGAGGGTCCGGGACCAACCCCTGCCTGCAGCCCCAGCAGACAACACCAAGCCAGTGCATCAAAGAGCAACAGGGAGGGGCCGCTGCTTTGCCCCCTTTCCCTCGGTCACAGCCCAGGAGGCTGCAAGAAAAGCCACTGGTGTCCGCATTTGAGAAATGCTGAGTTAGAGCAGATCAAACCACATCATAATCTTTGCTAATGATTGTTAGTTTTCAAATTGCAACATATTATGTCTCACATCAATTTCTCCTTTGATTTGAAGCTGATTGAGAGCAGAACAAAATGGCTCAATTATAAAGTTACCATACCTGGATCTCTCTAAAAATGAGCCCAACTTAATTTTAGCTCTGCATAATACTAAGGAAATCTCTGCTGTAATTTGGCAATCTTTTTAGGATGGTCCTGAGGGTGTAGCATAAAATAAAAAGGCAATTCACTCACATCAGACTTTTTGGTTTGCAGTTTAAGTTGATATATTTGAAATGAAGGCAAGGATTTGTTTAAACCTCTTCTGGAGTGAGACACCCATTTCCAGCGGCTGTGATATCTCAGCACGAAGCAGGGCGCGGGGAGAAGAGTAAGTGTAAGTAGGCTGACATGCTCCATACAGAGATTGTTCAGATTCACCTGGGAAAGGTAAAAACTCTTGAAAATGGAAGTAAATAACTACATTAAAATGGTTTATCCTACCTCCCTAACCCCCCCCCAAAACATAATGATCTGAAAACTAATTAGTACCACTCCCAGCCCCACCGTGCTCCGACATCCCCACGTTGACTTGTAGAGATGGGGATTGTAGCCTGCAAACCCCACTGAATCCATGGAGCCATGGGTCAAAGAGAGGCCAGTCCTTGCTAGCACACCTCTGGAGATAGCCAGCCTCCTACCTCCTTGGTCAGAAGGATCCCACAAGAGCCATGATTCCATTAGTTATTCTCCCTGCAGCTAGGCACTATTCCCTGTGCCCCAGTGGTATAGAAGGCTCTTGGGGGAGATGCTGCTGCTAGCAGCAGCAATGCCTAGACAGATTTCTGAAGGTGCTGTTTCCAGTTCATTTCATATGTGGAAGTAGGAAGCCTGTAAGTGATGGAGGGTAAGCATTGCAATGAATGCCTGAGAAGCCTGGCTTTCTGCTCCCACACGTACACCACACCATATAGCTGTTATAGTCCTCAGACAACCACTCTCGCCCCATCCTGCACTCACTCCTCTCGCTCTCTTTTTCCCAGACAGTTCAGGAAAGTGGATGGCTCAGAGCATTAGCAATGGGATACAGATCCTTTCACGTCTAGATCACTAGTTTAAATTCAGTCATGGGGCCCACTTCTCCCTTTGCAGAATGCAAGCAACTCCCATTGATTTTCAATGAGAGTTCCACTGACTTCAAAGAGAATGAATTACATAATGCAATGGGAGACCAGAGACCAAGGTTGGTAGTGACCCACATTTGTTACCATGTGAGGCGTATTTGGTGGTCATACCCACTTTCCAGCAGACAAACCTCCACCAATGTCAGGACTAGTCGGCCCACTCATTGTCAGTATCTGTCATTGATTGTCTGGCTCTGAAGACTGGGTTATCCTGTCAGCCCTTGAGGTGATCCCATCAGGTCAAGGGTGAGGAAGCTTGTTTTATGGATCTCACATAGGAATAAGCTTAGGATAGCACTGCAAGATGACAGGCTCCACCCAGCAGTAGTTGCTATAGGAATGCGTGAAAGAGATTTCGTTCTCCATGCCTACCAGTGGGTCACTTTTCACAGAAAGCACATTGTCTTAAGATTGTCATGGTTTTAGGGATTGCCTCATTTGAACTGGTTGCTCTATGCTGTCCTGATGGCCCAGTGATGGCATCAGACTGTGAAACTGGCTCTTGGCCACTCTGATTGTGTTTGTTGTCTGCAGCAGCGTTTCTGATCCCCTGCTCTCTGTGTACTGTTATGAGACTAGCCCATCGAAACTGTCAATATAGTTTATTCCACGGCACACTTATTCCCTCATTTGCTCCAATGCATTTGAAAATCCTTAAGTATCAAGAGACATGGAATTAAAAAATAACAACCACCAAGTAAAAACAAAGCCATAACAACCAGGGGGCCAAATTCAACCCAGATGCAATTTTGTCAGAATAGCACCAGGGATAGAATTTAACTCACAGCATGTCTGAATCTTGTCAGTTGAAATAAAAGTGCAGCCATTGTAATAACAAATTCTGACTGTGTCACTTTCTCTAGATAAATGTAGAGGAAAATTTAAGGCATCAAGGGAAGGAGCTTAAAATCAGGTGATGCCCACATAATACACGCTGGAGAGGGAATCCTGGCAAGAATTTGATTGTGTGTATCTGTGTGTGTATTATCTATAGGTATAGGTATGTATATTAGAAATTCACAAGTATTCACAAGTCTAAGTCAAAACATCTAGAATGTTTCACTGGATGCAAAAATATTCCTTGCAGCAAGATCAGTTTTTGCAATAAACTAAATAATCCCAACCCTTTAAGTAGGTGACCATAGTTAACATTCACATTTCCTTACACTTTGCAAGTGGTGAATGAGAGGTCTGATTAAACATGATACAAAAAGAGCTTGCAAGTAGCACTGTTTACTAACATTTCAATTTCTATGCCTCATTTATTAGACTTGGAATAAAAAGGTTAGAGGGGTGTTTGGGATTGTCTTTAACCTTGATGATATTTCCACTGAAGCAGCATAATGGCTCTTAATTGCTTAAGTGAAGAGAACATGTTGACATGTCCTTCTTTGTGCTTAAAGCTCTGTGCCTAAACCATTATGCTAATTCAAGCATTATATACACCAAAGTATTTATGGGACTGACACAAGTGATGTTGCAGGTAAAGGGCTGTGAAATGGTCTGTAAACAGAGAGAATTGATTCCAGGCCCAAAGCAATGCTGTTAAAGTCACAGACATTGAACAGCCAGCCCTACAATTTCTATCCAGATTGTCAAACTGGGTCAGACAGTGTCAGCAGGGCTGCCATTATAGATCAGATGGGTGGTTTAATAATATGTAAACCAACCACATAAATGGAAATTAACGTGGAAGCATTGAGTACCTGATTCTGGCTTTTTTTTTTTTTTGCACAGCCGTTTTGATTACAGAATTCTGAGTTGCAACATTTGCTAAAACATTTAGGTGTAAAAAAGTAAATCAGCATTACAGATTGTAATTGTATTTCCCTAAGTCAAGAGAGCAGCACTGCAGCCTGAAGAGATCACCGAAGAATATGTGTATCATTTAAATCTTTGTGCAATAATATAAAATAAAAAAATCCATAGATTTGACCCACTAGTCCTTCAGTATATTTAGTTGTATACATTATCTGCCTTT